ATTTTTGTAGTCTAATATTAATATTATTGTGACAAAAAACAAACAAATGAAACTATAATATAACAAATCTAACAAAAAAATTAAAACATTAATATGGTTATCAACACTCAAAGATTAAAAATCTGCATATTTGGTCCTTAAAAGAAAAAAAATATCAGTCAAACCCAAACAACCATATGCTATGAGTTGATAAATACATAAACATCCATAAGCTAAACAAAATGGTTGCAACACACATGCCACCAACGTTATAGATAATTCTACCTAAGCACAAGTGAATTTGCGCTGGTTCCGCCCAAGCAATATCTAGATTGCATATAATTAACCAGATTATCCATATACATTGGATAAAACTGACATAAACCCCATATAACCCCTATATGCCACTCACACTTCATTGCATTCCAGTTTTATAGAGCATAATCCATCTAATAAAATAAATAAACAAACCGAAGGACGAGTGAACTGATAAAATACATTTGCAAATATTTGCGCAATAGAAAAAAAATCGTCGCCAGACCCTTTAAAGAAAGACAGGAACTTTAAAAAACGATGACAATAAAAAAAACAATACTATATGGCTGTCGTTTTTTATTAGATATTAAGTTTGTACTCTAATTATATAACGTTACCAATAATTAAACAATTATATACATATAAAACAATCCCATGCGCGAGGAGTCTCGTTCGTATCAAAAACAACTCCACGCGCTTTAAGACACTATTACTTTCAACGAAGTCCATTGACTTTAAAGTTCATTCAGTTCATTCTAAGCCAAAACAGCCCAATTTCTTCCGGAGATGAACTGATCTACACAAAGAAAGTGAGTGCACTTCGCAAAAGCCTCTTCACACACCCATCTACCCCTCAACGATGAAGAGTACAGATCTTACCGTCTAAATCCCTGAAAAGACGACGGCCACGACATCCGTGATTTCTTCAGACCCGGTCGGTGACCCGTATCCACCGCGTAGGTTCGGTCCATTTTTCCCGGTGCTTTCAGGTAAGCTATCTGTCGGTGTGTGTGTAAGAATATCCCGCTGTCTCCCCCTCTAGCTCGCTCTCTCTCTCTCTGAGAGTTTCTGCGCTAGAGACGGTGAGGCTGGCGGCTGCTGCCTCCGCAAACGATCAGGAGGAGCGCGCGCATCACCTCCTCACAGATGCTGCCGGTCACTTTCCCGCTCAGCAGGAGCGACCGTTATTTTAAACTGTCAAACTGACTGAGGAAAAGCGACTCGGCATAAGACGCCTCTAATATTTAGTACGTCACAATTTCATCAAAGAAGATGAAGAACCACAATCAATTAGGTAAAGCAAAGAAAAAAATAACTAAATAAAATAAATACTTGTGCTACTCACATTATAATTAACGTAAAGAATACAAATTGGCAGCCACAAAATGTCATACACGAGTATGTCGATGTAAGGCAATAACTACAATGACCCTCCCACTTTAAGTTCATTTAACAAACATTTCAGCGATAAAATTGCAGGGAACACCCTTTAATCAACGTATTTTAGCTTATATAAGGTCAACTATACCCTATGCCTAAAGGTTGACAAAAATATGTGACCTTGGACCACAAAACCAGTCATAAGGGACGATTTCTTGAAATGGAGATATACATCATCTGAAAGCTGAATAAATAAGCTTTCAATTGATGTATGGTCTTTACTTAATATCCTAATGATTTTTGGCATAAAAGAAAAATCCATAATTTTGACCCATACAATTGTTGGCTATTGCTACAATGACTGGTTTTGTAGTCCAGGGTCACATATACTCATAGCCTACAGATATTTAAAATTTCATGCCAAAAATACTGACTCGTCTTAACTTACGGCATATAAACATTTTTGTCCAATAAAATGGTTTCTAGAATGAGAACATCTACTTCTCTTTTATTGTAGACCTTATGCGTTGGAGAAACAAGTGCGCAGCCATCATTAGAATTCTGTCTTTCCGTTTCTGCTGTAGCTCTAGCATCACGTTAAAGAGTAATTAGCTGATTAAGTGGATTTACTTATTGTAGAGTTAACGAAAGTTACCATGTGCATTGTAATGTTTAAAGAGGATGCCATAAAGATTTTAAAACAAGCGGTTAATTCATAAACTTGTATGACCTCACCTTCTGTGGAAATACAAATGAAGACAGAAGACATCGAGCGCAACACTGAAAAGGGGCGGAGCTACTTAAGGTCCATAAATATCACCTGCCTCTGACTAGCAATAGCACGAACAAAAAATCATGGCTCATGGTTTTTAGACTAAACAAATATAATCTGTGTCTCATCCCAACCTACTATTTCAATAGAAAATATATCAAAACAGGAAAGAAAGCTGCTATTTCATGCTGCTATTAACTAACATTTTTCACCAACTTAGTGGGTGGGCGCTTCAAACCAAATTTTCCTATGCAAATTAAAGTTTACTGTAAGCTGACTGAGTTGATAAATTCCCAGATTGAACTGAATAATGGATATAGGTCTTGTATAGCAAATCAAAGCGGCAATTGGTTTAACGTTTGCTTGTGGTCTGTGCTCTGTGAGCTTGGGAAGACAAAAAATGGAAATTATTTTTTGCAGGTATGAATCTGCATGTGTGAGTCAGACAAGTAAACCTTTCAAGGGAATAAAACAGGCTGCATTAAATTTGATGCCACTGGGTATGGGGATGGTTGTCAATGATACTGATAATCCAAATAAATGCTTTGTGGTTTATGGTAAATGTTATTCATCAAATCAGAGATTCATAAACTGACCTTTTTCTTTGAACTCACCACAGACGTGTCTCTTGATGTCCTTTTAAGGGGTGGTGTAGACCAGTACAAATGTGTCAGGGTGATTGACTAGTCATCTAACCACCAACTAGTGAGTTAGTGAGGTCAGGTGGCATGTGATCGTGACCCTAAAACAACTATGGCTGCCTATAAGACTGATAGCTTACTCATTCAATTTCTGCACATCCCTAATACTGAACAGAACCATGTGAATAATCGGTGTAATTGAAGAATGTGCAAATGCAGATCCAGGGTTTACGTCACACGACGCAAAGAACAAAACAGAAAGAAAATCATTTTTTATGCTTTACATGGAGCCTGACGCATGATCTATTTATTACATGCCAAAGCATGCACAAACTTCTAAACGAATCCCAGATGTATTCACATATCAAGGGGCAGAATATGACTCACCAGACACATAAAAATTGTATTCCGGTCCACGGCTGATTCAGGCTGCTGATATTGCCACTCCAGCACAGCAAGGCTTCGGAAAGAGACAAATTCCTATTTTCATATGATTGTGAAACTATGAACCTCTTCTGACTTTGAATATGCCAAGCTGTATCTAGAACCCCCCCCCAAATCAGCTGCGGTCAGCCATAACGGCAGGTGTTTAGGATAGTTAACGTAACAAATTTTAGACATAAAAGTGCACAGTTCAGCAGTATCAGTGCTGAAGCTGATTTAAACAGTCATAGTGTCGCTAACAGGGTGGCCAACGAGTCCGTCAAATCGACCCAATCAGCAGCAGAGCCGGCAAAACGTGTTAGCATGTTGAAGAAATTCAGTGACAGTTCGTAGCACAAACTGAATGAATTATAAATGAACCATGCTTGGGGCCAAACCAGACAATACATGCAGGAAAGTTCTTTAGAAAGCAGCACAGATCTCCACAGTTTGTATAGATCAAAAAATCTGTAATGCAATCACAGAAAAGTGTGTCAGGTATTCTATTAATTTCACTTTACAGGGCAAATGACGTATGATTTATATGACTTGTGATCATTGTGACATTTAACCTGGATGTCTGTGATTCAGAATCTGACAGGAAATTACTTTCTCATTCCCAACAACGTGAAGAGGTCTAACAGTGTTTTCTCTGCAGGGGCAACATAAGAGAAACCCTTTTTTGAAAAAAATAATTCTGTCCTTGGTTCTAAACAGCACTTCCATCTTTTCATCTAACCTTGTAAACTATTAGACGTTAATGAAAGGAGATTGTACCCAGTCAATAAGGTTTGATTGAATCCTGCCACACTAAAACACTACAGCAGTGCACGACTAGTTTGGCCTAAAAATAAAATATAGCTCCAAGATGACGCAGCTTTTCAATGAATAGCCACAGGAGGAAATTGATTGTGAATGGCGGGGTGCCACTGATTTCTCTGTGTTATAGAATAAGGCCGTATTTGACACATGCATGTATTTATGCTGCCGGCTCATGTAGAACGTCAGCTGTTTGTTAAACCTACTCAAAAACATGCCGAATCTTTAAAATGCAAGAACTTGCGCTTCAAACATGAAGTCACCACAGCTGATGAAATATTCATGATGCTGATGCTATATTGGCCTGATAAAACTCTGCACAGTAGTACTGCATGTGAGACTTCACAGTCTTAACATCTAAACCCTAAACAACCTTATCTAAAATTGCCAGGAGTCACAGCTGAAATGCAACCCTACATATCAACTGAATATTTTCGGGAATAATGGTTGAAATAAAGCCAATTGGATAAATAAAAATACAGTTCATAAATAATGTTTAACAGATTATTGATTGTCACATTTCAAAAGAAAATCTAATTTACAAAAGAAACTAATTTCCACTAAACAAAACTGAAATGCATGGCTTTTCAATACCTCATCTGTTTACAAATTTGAAGTCTAATTAACGGAAGTTTACTTTTTACAAACTAACAAGTAGCTACTAAGCCCATAGTACATCCCAGTTTAAGTAAGACTATAAAAACACCAATGCAACCTCACCCTGAATATTGGGAGTGGGCTTTTTCGCCTGTAAGCAACCACCCACAAAGTTCTGCACAGGCAAGCTGCACTCATGTTGTCTTCAGTAAATGTGAAAATCAAGTGTGAAATAGTATCGCCTAAAAGTGAAGACTACAAAATTTTAGACGCAAGAAAATTCACAGATAAATGCCATTGTATATTGCTGTGGATACCTTATAAGAAACTGATCTTAAGCCACAAATTCTCTTTCATCCATCTGCTTGCGGCCCTGGAGAGACACCCTTCAGCTGTGCCTCTTTAAAGAGTCCATCAAAGAAGGAACAGGCTGCATGGATGATAAGTGACAGAAAAACAGCGACAGGGTGACACTGGACAAAATGTCAAAGTGTGTTCTAATCTAGCCCTCCCACCAAAGAACTTCTCACTCTAAACAGGCTTTGAGGAGCTAGTAGTGAAGCCAATCTTTGCCAAAGCAGTCGATTTTATCGCCATGCCCACTTCATTCTTACATTTCTATCACTGGCGATGATGAAACGCCACTGCTGAGAAATATCCAAGTGTTTGTACAAAGACTCCCACAATGTTTTCTTCACAAATGACCTTGTGGGTTGAAAAAAAAACTTGGTGCATTAGAGATTAAACGATTTACAACCAATTATTTTTATGTTATGACGGATTTTTGACCTGGCACAGAAAAATTATAGTGGAAAAGCATAAGTCCTTATATTATTTCCATTTAATGATCATATTTACAACATGAAATGCCACAACAATGCCATATTTATCGGTTCGGGGAAGTCAATTAAAGAACTATAAAGAAGCAAATTAGAATTCATCATAATTTAGTTGCGATTTAGATTGTTGACTAAGTTTATTTTGCATGCGTTTTGTGCACTGTTGAAGAAAATTAATAGGTTATACTTTATTTTCATGGTCGCCTTCAGAAATTCAGTTGACTATGAGTAACTTTGCAACTACAACTAACTCTCATTGGAATATTAGTAGACTGTTAGGTTAGGTTCATGGTTAGAACAACAAGTTACAAAGAACAAATAATGTCCACACACTGAAATTACAGCTTCAAAAAAATATTTTCCCTAAACAATGTTTTGTACAGCTAAAATTTCAGTGTGCAGACATTATTTGTTCTGTTAATTATTTGTTATTTTTTGTCTTGTACCTGAAGCTAATTTTGAGTCATTTGGATGTGCACAAGTTTAGGAGAATATGTAATCAGTAGAGCGTCTTTAGGGGATCATCAAAATAAAGTATTAGCAGATTTAAGCAGGCAGTCTACTAACACCCTAATGACTAGTTGGCATGTACTTGCAAAGTTACTTATAGTCAACAGAACATCTGAAGTGTTACTGAATAATACTTATTTAGTCATGTTTATGAGGCAACAAGCATGTGCAACAAGACTATTTTGCATCATCCTCTGTGGCAGCATGTGCATCCTTTGTTCTTTAAACTTCTCATCTTTGCCAGTAAGTGACAAAGAAAGGAAATATTAAAATATATTTAAAGGCATGTCAAGAAATAATTGCATCATCCACATCCACTTACATCTTGAAAACAGCACAATATGACCAAATGTCCAAATTTTACGCATCCACACAAAAGGCTGTTTTGCTCACCTGCCGGCATCAGCAGATGTGATGGCGATGAGCGGGGGGGTGCGCAGCGCCAGAGTGGTTGGACGGGCGATCGGCTCAGTCTCTTTGCTGTTCCAGTCATGTTGCTCAGCTTGCCGGAAGACCAACGGGGGCAGCTGCAGGTTCCGACTGGAACGTCTGCGTACTTGGAAGAGCTCCACGCCTGAAGCGGCTCCTTCCTCTGCCTCTGCTTCTGGGTACTCTGGGGACCCATCGCACACCTGGCACAACACAAACACAAACTTACCATTTACTAGCGCTCTGCCTTTCACAGAGCTGTGTGGAATAGATAATGCAAAGGCTTGGAAGGCAGTGTAGAGTACACGGCCTTACAGAAACATTTCTGGTTTATGATAGTTTGAGTTGCATTCGTATAAAAGCGAAGGGGCAGGAAACTACACACACATACAAACACACTTCCTAAATCAGCCGGTTGTCAGAGTACCAAATCAAATGAGGCACGATACATGCCAGCATCAGTTTGCGTTATGTGTCGTTTTCTGAGATATTTCAGCATCTACTCATGGAAATGTATTAGAATCTCTCAAAATGTGTTCTATGGAAAGCTTTTACCAAATCTTCATATTGCATATCTTTTTTGTGATCAACATCAAAAGGAAAAAATTTAAAACATAATAAATAAGACCAAATGCACATTTTCCCCCCAAATTAAAAGAATGTGTCTGAAGCTATTACTCTCAGCTGTGATTCTTATTACTGTAATATAGCATTTTTTACTATATAATGAACCATTTAACTTACAAAAAGCAGTGCAATGATGTATAAATGCTTTACCAATTATAATAAATATTATGGTCCCCTAAAATAAGCTTCATTTTCACCAAGCAAAATCTGATTTCGGCGTGAAATATGACCTGGATTTGTTCTAGACAGGCTTCATGAGATTCATCCTAGTATAAATAGATTTGTAGAAAATGAGTTGGTGGTTATAACGGAGGCATGACCCTGAGATGAATTCCCAAATGAAATAAATTAATTTCTTTAAAGAGTATGTCAAATCTCTTGGTACTCTTGGGGCTATGAATCAATCTAAATTTAATCAGCGCAGAAAGAGACCTTTTTTATACATTCTGGAAAAATTTGGAAAATATTTTTTTTCTTAGTGAAAAAGCATGGTAAAGTGTGCAACAAATACAATTATAAAGTTATATATCTTGTCATATTTTTATACTGCACTTACTGCCTCATTAATAAGCTACATTTAATAATATCCTGAAGAGAGGCACTTCGTTTCTAAACACCCTCTCATGATGTCCAAAAATGAGAAAAACAAGCAGAAAATTGCCCAAAAAGCTTGTGTTTTCTGGGCTTACAGTCATTAATTATTAAGCTGTCAAATGTTCTGTCATGCATCATTATTTATGGGACATTTAACTAACACAAGTTCTCCCAAATAAATCAAAGATTGGGCTCTCTTTAGCAGCGATCTGTTAACGAAGGTGGCCAAGAAGACAGCGACTGACAGTAAGAAGGAGAAAAGTACAAAAAAATACAATATATACAATACAATACCGTTAATTCCCCAGGTATACTCTCTGATGCCCACAAACAGCTCTGGAGAACCACCTAATAGGCTGTGTTTACATTACTAGCGCTTTTTCCAATGAAGGGAACCGATATGTGTGCAGCATCCATTCACGGTGCATGTCCCATAGGGACTGCTGAACTGTGCCGCAACGAGATGGAAAACTTGCTGTCAGAAGAAAGGTAACGAAGCCTCTGTGTTTTGCATTTCCCAAGCTGCTACTTTATTAGCATAAGCAGTCCGTCAGTATAAACACAAATCTTATAAAGAGAGAGGTTTCCGTGGAAAAGAGACGGCATCATTAATTTGCATTTTGCATGGCTTCATTTGCCCACAAAAACATGTTGCTATAACTTCATATTTCAAGTCCTCGCTCTCTCTATTAACTGGACCGATAACTTAATGCATTCTTCATGACTGCACGTAAACCAAAAGTATCAAAACCGCTATCAAATTAAAGCTCACCTCTATTTTCTCTTTTTGCAATAAGCCCCTAATGCACAATTCATTATTATATGAGCAGTTTGACTCATCCACTGAAGCCTGTGGGCATGTTGAAAGCCGCGGCCCCCAGCACAAAGCATCAAGGGCTTCATTTATAGTCTGAGCAACATGCCACACCGAACACACATAAAATGCATCCAATGTGACTAAACAAGGGGACGGAATTAGTGAAAGAAGCGTGGTTGGATGGCTGTCTGGAGACAGACAGCACAATATCATGAAAATTGCAGAAACACAATCAGAAGATGTGCAGCATTATTATAGAGTCAGAGTCATGTCTGGAGGGCCGGGTGGGAGACGGGGGGTTTAAAATAGTCTTTCAAAGCAGCTGTGGAGATGCAGATCACAGTGATGGTTTGAATGGCACAGCGCGCAGCGGAACAAATGGAGTGAACCCTCCACCTGTGGCTCACGGTAGAACGCAGCACTTTGTTCGGCGAGAAAACAGAGAAAGGGGAATGTGAGGCTAATTTCAACTATTTGCCAGATGTATTCTGGGAAGAAGCAGCAGGCAGAGGTTATCGGTTGGGCGTGGGCTTGAACGGTTTGAACATCTTGCTCTGGACAATGGAGCATGACTCATGCTTGAGAGCTACTAAAAGCTAGATTGACTGAAAGGCCTAAAAACAACCAGAACTGATCGATAGACGTTTATAACAACAGATTTGACTGAGCTGGCCATGTTCAGAGCTGGAAAATACTTTATATTAATTCTATATTAATATAAACCAAGCCATTGAACTATTTTGCATGGTGGAATAAAACTTGAAATTAAAATTGAATTATGAAATTACTAACATTAATAAGACATATATATATATATACACACACACATACACACACACAGTTAGGTCCATATATATTTGGACACAGGCACAATTTTTATTATTTTAGCTGCTGAACAAAACATATTCAAGTTACAGTTATATAATGAGTATGGGCTTAAAGTGCACACTCTGAGCTTTAATTTGATTCTCATCACAGTTGGAGGAAAGGTTAAGGAATTACAGCTCTTTAATATATACCTTCCCCCTTTTTCAAGGCACCATAAGTAATTGGACAATTGACTCAAAAGATGTTTCATGGACAGGCGTGGGCTATTCCTTCGTTATTTCTACATCAATTAAGCAGGTAAAAGGTCTGGAGTTGATTCTAAGTGTGCCATTTGCATTTGGAAGCTGTTGCTGTGAACCCACATCATGCGGTCAAAGGAGCTTTCCATGCAAGTGAAACAGACAATTGTTAGGCTTCAAAAACGAATCCATCAGAGAGATAGCAGGAACATTAGGAGTGGCCAAATCAACAGTTTGGTACATTCTGAGAGAAAAAAAGAACACACTGGTGAGCTCAGCAACATAAAAAGGTCTGGATGTCCACAGAGGACAACAGTGGTGGATGATTGGCGAATCCTCTCCATGGTAAAGAAAAACCCTTTCACAACATCCAGCCAAGTGAAGAACACTCTCCAGGAGGCAGACGTGTCACTGTCAAAGTCTGCAATCAAGAGAAGACTTTACGAAAGCAAATACAGAGGGTTCACCACAAGCTGCAAACAAGGCCACATTTGACTTTGCAAAAAAACATCTAAAAAAGCCAGACCACTTCTGGAAAAGCATTCTTTGGACGGCTGAAATTAAGATCAACCTGTACCAGAATGACGGGAAGAAAACAAGAATAGAGAAGGCTTGGTCCAATGGCTCATGATCCAAAGCATACAAAATCATCTGTGAAACATGGTGGAGCAGTGTGATGGCAGGAGCATGCATGGCTTCCAGACAGAAGACAGAAGCATAAAAGTTTTTTTTACATAATATATGTGTGTACTGTGTAAATTTATTATGTATATATAAATACACACACATGCATGTATATATTTAAGAAAAATAATTTACGTGTATATATTAAATATATTTATATATGATATAATTTATATGAATATAAATATATACATGCAAATACATGTAAATATTTTCAAAATATATGCTGTATGTGTGTGTCTTTATATATACATAATAAATATACACAGTACACACACATATATTATGTAAACAAAACTTTTATTTTGGATGCGATTAATTGCGATTAATCGTTTGACAGCACTAATATATACGTTTATATATACACTACAGTTTGACGGTTTGTGGTCAGTAAGTTGCCTGAAATTGTCACAAAAAATAGTTTCAAGTAAATGCTGTTTTTTTTTTTTACTTTATATTCATCAAAGAATCCTGAAAAATTAAGCTGTGCAACTGTTTTCAACATTAATAATCAGAAATGTTTCTTTAGCAGCATATAATGATTTCTGAAGGATCATGTGACATTGAAGACTGGAGTAATGATGCTGAAAATTCAGCTTTAGATCACAGGAATAAATTAAATTTCACAATATATTTACATAGAAAACAGCTATTTTAAATTGTAATAATATTTCACAATATTACTGTTTTTACTGTATTTTTGAGCAAATAAATGCAGCCTTGTTGAGCCTTCTTTCTTACGGTCTAAACTTTTGAATAGTAGTGTACTGTATACATAAATACAACATAAACACTCAGTTAAAATGGCTAAAATATTATTATTGTTCTAAATATTAGGTCATATCCAGAGTATGATGGGATGCAGCCAAAATGCTTTTTCCTGCATGAAATGATACAGTTCCTAACTGGCCCAGATGGTAAATTAATCATAGGTGTACCGTTGCTCTCTGCAAATGTTAAGGCTCCTGAATTGGCTTGCAGTGGGAGAACACGGCCACCTCCGTCACTGGAGGACGAGCTAAAATATTCATGTCGTTTCACAGTAGCTACTTTCGTTTACAGTCATTGACCGTATATTAAAAGAGCCAGTAGTCAAGTCACTCAGAGAGACTGAGACTGTTCTCTTTACTCCAAACGGCCTTGACTTACTCAATAGGACTGCAAGGCAGATGTCGTTTTGTGCAAATATTACATCTAATTATGTGTGTGTGCGTGTGTGTGTTACGCCATTAGCCTGCTCGTCCTTCACAGAGCAGACAAACACAGCCTTATCCCTCAATGTTATTTATCCCTTGCTGGATGACCTGACAGTGTTTCAGAAAGTAAAAAAGTCAGGATACATCCATCCAGTGTGTGAAGTAATAGAGGATTCAGGGAATAAATCAGCTGTTTCATCACTCATCCGTCAGTCGAG